AAGGAGCAATCAGCTAAGTGAGCCTGGGCCCCAAATTTCCTAAATCTGCCCCTGACCATTAATTAAACCAGGAGGGTTAACAGAATGCCTAATGGGGAGACGTCAGCAACCTCAGAAACATGGATCCTCGGGAGTGTGTGGAAACCTCAGAAAATACCAGGATCCTGGAGCAGACATGGTTCCAGTATGGGTTTGTGTTCCTAACAGGAAACGATTCTTTTCTCTTTGGAGATAGAACCAGTGGAATAACGTGTCAAAAGTGAACCATCTGGATGGGTGAGCTACCACTTCAGGAGGGGACAGCCGAACGGTTTTTAATTTGATTCAATCCACCACGAGTCCCGACTACTGCCACACCTCTAGAAACAAGGACCTGTCTGACAACACGAAGTAGGGTCAAAGTTCTAAAACCACAACAGATCCTGTGGCTATCTAAAGAGATTTAGAGCAAACAGGAACAGATTCACTGACATCCAGGAAGTTTAAAGGCCTCAAAGGATCTCAGAGTACAGATCTGTGATGGCAATAAACTTTGGAGATAAACTTAAGGAGAAAATGTGTCCATTGTTTAGATCAAAAGATCCAGGAGGTCCAAGAAGAGCCAGAACATCTACAGCTCAGCAGATCCCACATTTCCAGTCCAGATCAGAGTTCATGGTTCAACAATGAAAGGTTTTGAAAAAGGTTCAAGTCCAGAAGAGCTGTAATCAAAAAGACTTAGTAAAAACATTTTCACTATGGGAAGGCCTAATCCTGGTGGACAAGACAACGTGGAACATTGTGGAAACTGTGATGGACGTTGCGCCTGGTGTGAAACTTTGCAGGTATTTCAGATCAAACGTGGAGCACTGTGATGGGAGAGCCATGGTTTGACTCCGCTGCTTCAGGACAGCTTGTTGAATTTATGGAACCAGGGTTTTTACAGAAAAAGCAGAATAAAGGAAAACATTAAAGGTATTGTGGAGGATTTTCGCAAATGTTTTAAAAGACCCAACCTCTTCACTTTAAAAAAAAAATGCACATGCACAACCCTGTACCCGTTCCCAAGATGGAACGCGCGCACAGCCCATGTATGGAGGCCTTAGTCCTTGATGAGGCTGACCCGAGTTCGAATCCGACCTGTGGTCCTCTTTTCTGTCAGCCTACTGTCGAAAAAACTCAGCAAAAAAAAAGCTTACTGTATCCGACCGTCCGGCCTAACCCCTAAATCCCTCCATCACTATATAAAGCGGGGATCTTATAGTGAACTCAGTTAGCTGACCGTTCAGACAGATGATCACTGCTTTTTGCACCATTGGTCACATAACTACTCCTCCACCGTGTAGTGCATGCGCCATCTTTGTTATTAGTCGCCGCTGTCGGGTAGCGACAGCCAATGGCGACAGCGGGCCGCTGTGACAGCAAATCCCATAATGCTTTCCGAGGAGAGCTCTCCATGCAAAGCATTCTGGGATATATTTGCCTCTTCTGAGGCCTTTCTTCCTTCTCATACACTTCGTAGACACTTTTATCTATTCCGACCCTCTGCCATTTTTAAAGAACCGCAGTGACAAAGGTGAGCTTCAATAACTATCTGAAACCGTAGCTCACCACAGATATACGCCAGAAAGTGCGCAGAAAAAGACAGCTAACAGGACGAGCATGTAGGGCGAAGGACCGTTAGGACAGTTAGGAGGACCAATAGTGTAGATGATCTAACTGGAAAGAAAAGATCCTCCTCTATACCTTTAAGTTTTTTTATGCAGCTACTGTGGAGAAAAAAAGGTGGGATGAACCAAACTTAATGGCAGTGTCAGCGGCTATCGCTGTCCCTACATAGTTAGCATGGCTATCGCTGCCCCTACATAGTTAGCATTGCTATCTCTGCCTTTACATAGTTAGCATGGCAATCGCTGCCCCTACAGAGTTAGCATGGCTATCGCTGCCCCTACATAGTTAGCATTGCTATCTCTGCCTTTACATAGATAGCATGGCTATCACTGTCCCTACATAGTTAGCATTGCTATCTCTGCCTTTACATAGATAGCATGGCTATCACTGTCCCTACATAGTTAGCTTTGCTATCTCTGCCTTTACATAGTTAGCATGGCAATCGCTGCCCCTACATAGTTAGCATGGCTATCACTACCCCTACAGAGTTAGCATGGCTATCACTGCCCCTACATAGTTAGCATGGCTATCGCTACCCCTACAGAGTTACGGACTCATTTCCCACTGGGATCAGCTTCAAAGTCATGGTAGGACATTCTTTGAGTTTATTTATTTTACTCAGGCTACTCATAACTGCACAGTCCACAAAACGTTAAAAGGGCAATATTATTGCCATTACTGTTAATATATAGTAAAAATGTTAGACATTCAGTGATAAAATGTCACAGGGGATGGTCACTTAAGAAGGAGGATGATTTTTCTAATCTATTTAAGAAGGGAGATGCCACCCCCTTCAACTCGAGTACTGCCTTACTTACAGATGCACATACCTGTTATCAGGTGTTTTAAATCTGGCTTTTTTTTGCCTGAGGAAAAACTTTAGGTTTTCAAATGAATACATTTCTGTCTCTGCACTGTTGCTTCCAGCGTGTTTAGTGTGAGGGATTGCTGAAGAGTCAATGAGTCGATGCAATCAGCTGGTTTTTCCTTAGAGAACTTTGAGATGATATGTTGTTAATTGGCTCTATAGAAATAAACTGAATAAAATTGAATTAAAAAGTGTCTGATATCTAAAACATGAAGGCATCAGCAGGAGGGCACAAACTGAAGCAGAAAATACATTTCTACCATGAAGATGGATATTTTCTTTATTTCCCACATTAATTAGAATAAATCAGTACATCTTAAAGAAACTCTGATGTATAGTAAGAGGATGTGTTGTTTCTGTGCTAGCGTCCTCACAGGCTACATGATGCTGGAGCGAAGCGGCGGCCAAACGTCCAGATGATAGGTTGGTATCTTCCCTGAAGCTTCTCATCCAGAGGCAGACAGGAGGAACAGTTCACACATCTTACATGATAAATATGGAGAATAACTGCCAGCTGATCTTTATGAAGGTGTTTATTTTTGTTTTACATGGATATTGCCACATACCACCTCATCTAAAAGTCAGATTTCTGTTCAAAGCAGGAGCCGTCCAGAAGAATAAGAGAGCTAAGCAGCCCACCAGGTATGGGAGGTTGACTGTTTGGGATATAAAACAAGAAAAAGAAAAAAAAGCTCAAACTATAAATCTCTTTTAGATTTCCTTCCCCAGCTTTTAACGGATTCCCCGGTGTCATCACATGACTTCCTCTCCAATTACCTGATGTTCTCAAGGTGACTTTCATAGAAACAGGTCCTTGATTTCTTTTTAGAAGCAAAGTTGTCTTTAACCCTTTATAGGACAAATTAGCGTTTTTTGTACTGCATCTTTCAGTGCAGTAGATCTTATTTCGGCATTTGACCAATTAGCTTATATATTACCTACTGGAAATTAAGTTGGAAGAAAAAAGTTAGGTCAAGAAAAACGGTAAAAAGCTAATTGAAAAGTTAAAAAATCAAGTTATTATTATATTTAGGTATT